CTTGAAGGCATCAAGCTCTTCTGCTCTTTCCACATAGTACGCCGCAGAGCTCTACACCCAGAACGTGCCCTGGACAACCACAGTGACAGTGAAGAGGAGCTTGCTGCCTTCTGTCCTCAGGTATCTTGTGTGGAAGCTGCTCTACCGGGCCCATTTTCTTAATTCCTCTTTATCCATCTGGCAGCTCACATTAAGATGGTAACCAGGTTTTAAGCCTATCAAGGACCCTCAAAGACCCTAGATTCCCCTTATTCTCAATAGCAGTTCTGAGAACAGAACCTGGTGTTGTATGGGGCCTTAGAACTCAGTTTGAGCCTGGTGAACAGCATGTTCCATCAGGGGAAAACCTGGAGCTGACAGAAACTTTTCAACAGCCAGTCCTCCTAGAGGTTTGGTTAATAAGTATATTTTTCTGGTTACCCAGGATTGTCTGAGATCAAAAGGTTGATGAGAAAGAATGTTTCTTTTAGGGAAGCATTGTAACAGGCATCAAGATGGTGGGCGTAGTTCCCATCTCTCTTTGATTTCACTGGTGGGCTTGGGTCTCTTCTAGGGCTTGCATTAGTAAAGCAAATTGGTGGCGGCATCATCTCTGACTTGTTGCTGCTTTCTTTTTGTAAGCTGGATGATTCTGCTGTGGCCAGGGAATTGGCTATTACAGATTCGGAGCACTCTGATGCTGAGGTCTCCTGTACAGACAACGGCACATTTAACCTGTCAAGGGGCCAGACACCTCTCACAGAAGGCTCGGAAGGTGAGAACCTTTGACTTGAGTTGATAGTAACTCTGACTCTTGTGTTACAGCTTCCTTAGACAGGAGTCTTACTGTTGCCTCCTCTCCTGGGTTTGTGGCTCAAGTAGCAGAGTCACCCAAGGGTGTGGTAGCACTGCTGTTGTTCTTGAAGCCCCCAGTCCATTATTAATCTTTGCCTCTGGCCTCATGGGCACAGTAGAGGAAGACAGGCAGTTCCGTGGCAGTTAGTCATCTAATTGGCAAATGGTCATCTGAGTGATGACGAAAAGCCAACCAGTCCCACAGGTTTTGCTTTATCTTAAGAACAGGGAAGTTAGACGGTGGTGGCACACGCCTTTAATCCCAGCACTTGGGTGGCAGAGGCAGGTGGATCTCTGTGAGTTCAAGGCCAGCCTGGTCTACAAAACGAGTTCTAGAACTGGCTCCATAGTTACTGAGAAACCCTGTCTTGAAAAACCAAAAGAAGAAGAAGAACAGGGAAGCTGGGTGGTACTGGAACATGTCTTTAATCCCAGCACTTGGGAGACAGAGGCAGGCAGAGCTCCGAGTTCAGGGCTACCCTGGTCTATAGAGTGAGTTTCAGGACAGCCAAGGCTACACAGAGAAACACTGTCTCGAAAAACAAAACAAAAAGGTACAGGGTAGGGGAAAACCTGGTTTTTGGGATATGGAGCACAAGGGGCCAAGTAGCCACCATTTTCACATACCTGTGTTCTCTCAGACCTAGATGGTCACAGTGATCCTGAGGAATCATTTGCCAGAGACCTTCCAGACTTCCCTTCCATTAATGTGGATCCTGCTGGCCTGGATGATGAAGACGACACCAGCATTGGGATGCCCAGCGTGATGTACCGCCCCCCGCCAGGGGCTGGGGATACCCAGGTCCTGCCTGCTAGTCGGGATGAGGCTGCACTGCCAGAGCTCCTGCTTGGGTCCCTTCCTGGAGGATCTAACCTTACCAGCAACCTTGCCAGCCTGGTCTCCCAGGGCATGATCCAGCTGGCCTTGTCAGGGGCCTCCCAGACAGACCCTTCTGGCCCACCTCCCCGAAGAGCAACAAGAGGCCTCCTCCGGGCTCCTAGTTCAGACCTTGACACTGATGCTGAGGGAGATGATTTTGAACTTCTGGACCAATCAGAGCTGAATCAGCTAGACCCTGCCAGTTCCAGGAGCCACTGAGGAGAGACTCCTTTGAGGGGGTCACTGTGATGTAGGGTTTTTTTCTCCCCACCCCACTTACTGTGACGGGGCAAGGGAAGAACCCGGTCTTGTCCCCTGAATTTTATCTGTGTGCTGGGTGGCCTGGCTGATGCAGAGGCCTGCTGAGAGAACATACTCATTACCTTGCTGCCAGCTAGACACCATTTCTGTGCTTAGTCACTGAAGTGAGCACATGCTGCCCCGAGGGAGACGTCTCTCCACAGGGCGGTACTGCAGGCAAGAAAGGAGGAATAGTGGTTCCCCTTGGGGAATCAATATTGAGGTGGTAGTGCTGTTTGCTTTTAGGTCTGGGTGCTCAGGGGCCTTCACTGATGTAAGAGCCCATCTCTTCTCACCTCACGGGAGCCACAGAAGTCAGGCAGCAGCTACAAGAGTTTCCATTTTTGTCTTTTACCATGATTTGATCTGTGTTCTCAAAGCAAGTTTGTCCTTTGGTTCTGCAGAGCAGGCCCACTTCCTGTCCCTGAGCCCATCTTCATTTCTCGATGACTGACCCTCAACACTGCAGAGTGCTTGCAGAACGTAAGAAATGTGAATGTGACGTGGGCTGAGCCTCTGTCACCATGAGCTGTAGGATCAGCTGGTGACAGGGTTGGTGAGTGCCTCTCTGTCCTGAGGTCTCATGGAATCTTTTGGAGCTGTGTGGTTGTCTTTGGTGCTGTTAACCCCTGGCTCCATTTGACCATCCATCTGAGCAGCGAGCAAAGCAATATCATACCCATTTTTATGTACCAGTTCCTCCCCTGCTCCTCCTCCGGAGAAGCAATAATTCCGCAAGGGGTAGGTGGCAAAGTAGCACTTTACAAATGGCTGTGGCATTCATCCGAGGAGCCAGCAGCTCTTCTTCCCACACTGCTTCCTAACTCCTTTGAGGGCTCACCCTCAAAGTAAGGATGTGCTGGTAACCAGCAGACACTGTTCTGAAGGGTGTGTGTTAGCAGTCCCTGGTCAAATCATGTGAAACAAAGCCCTGTAAATGATCATTGGTTCTAAACCTTTGCCAGCCTACTGCCTCTCTCTGTCTCCCAAATGAGAGCTCAAGCCAAATTCTCTATCCTCTTTCCCTCTTGCATTAACCCTTTGCTGATCCTCAGGGACCACTCCCCCAGCACCCCCATATTTGGGTGAGGGACGTTGGACAGAGCCCATTTTCATGTGCTGCAGGTTGGGGGTTGTGCTAACATGTTTGCTCTTGGTTGATGGACAAGGTAGAGAGGCCAGGGAGTGAAAATACTTAACAGTGAGAAGGGCAACGGCTAGGTGCCTGTTTCATAGTCATTGAGTGTGAAAGTTAGGGAGGAGTAATGGCATCTCCCCACTTTGAGGTTCTCAGATGCTCTGGACATCTCTTTCCTTAGAGCCAGCTGTGTTACAGGTGAGCTCTCTGGAGAAAATGGGAGGTGATGGAAAGGAGTGGAATATTGTGTGTTTGCATGAACGTGTGTAACTTCATGCTTTGGGAGTTGGCAAGAGGAAGAGGGAGGGAGGGAGAGCAAAATCCAGAAGGTCTTTCTTGTACCAGTGGGACCCTGCTCTGAATCTCCCGAATCTTCCACTGTGAATTGGGGTGGGGGGTGGGTGCTGGGGAATAAATCTTGTATGAGAACAATCTTTAAGAGACTGCCATTGCATGGTGTACTCCTTTGATAGGTCTTCTCTTACTAATCTGGTAATAGCTAATTTGGGGCCGTGACCACCTCAGAAGGGGACGCCCAGGTAGGTGTCAGGGGCCCACCTGCCCCTTCCTGTTTCTCCCTCATGAAAGCATTTCCCCTCCTACAACCAAGACATCAGTACAACACCCTTGCTGGCACTTGTCCCGTTGGGTTTTGTTTTCTTCTAGATTTATTTATGTACATGAGCATTTGCCTGCCTGCATGCACACACACCACAACTTGCCTGGTGCCTGGGGGGTGGGGAGGGTCTGATCTCTTGGAAATGGAGTTACAATTAGCAGTTACTTGAGTGCAGGAACCAAACCAGGGTTGTCTCCAAGAAAACCAAATATGCCTGATGGTGGCACACACCTTTAATCCCAGCACTGGGGAGGCAGAGGCAGGCGGATCTCTGTGAGTTTGAGGCCAACCTGGACTAGAGAGTGAGTACCAGGGTAGACTCCAGAGCTACTGAGAAACCTTGTCTTGAAAAAACAAAGTGCCCTTAACTGCTGAACCATCTCTCCAGCCTCATTAGTCCATCATTTTTAATGCTTTTTTTTTTCTTTCTTTTTGCAAGACAGGGTTTTTCTGTTTAACAGCTCTGGATATCCTAGCTACTTTGTAGACCAGGCTGGGCTCAAACTTTAAGAGATAAACCTGCTTCTGCCTCTCTAGTGCTGGAATTAAAGGCGTGCGCTACCACTGCCCGGTTTCATTCTTAACACTGCCCCTTATATAAGAGGAGACAAAAAAAACATGATCTGAACAAACGCTAATAAGTTTTACGTAGCAGAAGACTTGAAAAATTAATACTGTTGCCTTTCCGCGGGACTCTGAGCTGCAAGGACAGCTGCTCTTTGACCTTCAGCAGACCTCAGAAACTAGAAATATTTATTTCAGGCTCCACCGGACTGACCACCGAGGTCAGGAATGGAAAGCACCTGTCAGGTGTTGCTGCGGGGGCTAACTGGCGACTTGTGGCTTGAGTAGTAGCCTCTACTCCCTACCGCCTTTTTGGGCGTTCAAACCACCGCTGGTGTCGAGCGCCCCCTACACGCGACACACGGAAACGGACGCTGTTGGTGCTCCTTTTCCTAGCCACGCTCCCGGGGGTGCACCCTGTGACTCTGAGCGGCGCGGGAGCTGGGACCCTGAAGTTTCTTCCCCTTCCCACCCCTGGGCCAAGTTCAGGATCACGAGTGCTCACATACGGCAGCTTAAAGTGGAAGGGGCCACTCGGTCCAGCTAGCGCGGAGGCCCAGGACGACCTGTCGCAAAGGCTGACGCTCAGTTTCTAGACCGCGCCGGTTGGGTGGGTGGGGGGCGGCCTACGGGGTCCCGGAAGGTAAGGGCGCATTTCCGGAAGACTTCTCCTGCAGCCAATCAGCGTTAAGACCTTCCTCCTTCACCGGAAGGCGCTGTCTCCCAGAGCAACCAACCAGACCGCTGTCTTCAGTTTGGTGGCGGGAAAAGGCCATGAGTAAAAGCCGGGCCGAGGCTGCGGCCGGAGGTAACGGCGGCGCCCGTAGGACGACACGGGAGGGGAGCGGGCGAGGGGTTTAGAGGTGACTCGGTCTCCCACCTCGTCTCTCGCAGCCCCCGGGATCATCCTGAGGTACCTGCAGGAACAAAACCGGCCCTACAGCGCGCAGGACGTATTCGGAAACCTGCAGAAGGAACATGGACTGGGCAAGGCGGTAAGACCCCGCTGAACTCCCTTTTCAGGCGTGGGTCCCCTTTTCCGTCACCAGCCCATGTCCTCTCATTGCTCCACTCTTCCCTCGGCCAGGCGGTGGTGAAGGCTCTGGATCAGTTGGCCCAGGAAGGCAAGATCAAAGAGAAGACGTACGGCAAGCAGAAAATTTATTTTGCCGATCAGGTGAGAACTCCAGCAGATTAGCCCCCACCTGAGAACCTGGCTGAGCGAATCAACTCCCAGCATTAACTAGTGTTGAGGCACCTCATAAAATTAGCCTAACCTGAGCCAGAAAAGGCTTCAGGCTTTTTTTTTTTTTACTTATTTTGGTTTTTCGAGACAGGGTTTCTCTGTAACAGTCCTGGCTGTCCTGGAACTCACTTTGTAGACCAGGCCGGCCTCGAACTCAGAGATTCGCCTTTCTCTGCCTCCCAAGTGCAGGGATTAAAGACGTGTGCCACCACTGCCCGGCTGGCCTCAGGCATTCCTAAATCATGGGCACACTGCCTGTGATCACACTTCACCAGTGTTCATTTGAGGTATGGACAAAAGACAGAAGACCCTGGCTTGTTACTGCTCCCAGCCTCCTTTCCGCTTGGGAACACTTATTGTTTCGTCTAGCCCCACCCTCTGCCCACAACCACAAACATCAAATTTGTATTCTTCCACCTAGATTTCTCTCTGGGTGCCTCTCAGATATTAAGCATCAGTATCAATATGGCCGAAGTAGAATGCTTGATCTCTGCCCCCCTCTCCGCCCGCCAAACTGGCTTTCTAGCATTCTTTTGTAAGAGAAACACTTTCCCCCAATTCTTGGTTTCTTTTACCTTGCATATCTGACATGTGTGGTTATTTACGAATTATATCCGATTCCCCCGACCTAACCCTTTTTTGGGGGGAGGGCAAAGGGTTGAGACTGAGTCTCACTATGTAGCCCAGGCTGGCCTCAAACTTGCTTTCTTGCCTCGGCCTCCTGAGTGCTGAGTTTATAAGTGTTTGTGTATTTACCAGGGTGGCTCAAGGTTTTCTTTATTGAATCTAACCTGTCTTCACGGCTCTCTATCAGACCCTCTTGGATATTGTAGCCAGAATGATCTATCTAAACACAAATTTGGCTGGTAAATGGCTGAGGGGCCTGGAGGTAGTTTTAGACTTTCTGAAGCATTTGTTCTCACTATTCAGCCCTGCCATTGTAAAACAAAAGTAGCCGTAGATGATGCAAAGGAACAGACATGGCTGCAAAATTTCATTTTACATGCGCGAGTTGAGCAATGGCTCCTGTTCTTCAGACTCACCTTGCTGAGTTTCCCGTCGCACTACATGGTCTGGCGTGCCCAACCTTTTCTAGCTACTCCCAGCATCAGCTGAGGAGGCTCTCGTTCATCCCCAGCGGCCCTCTTCTCGCAATATCTCCTAGAGAAGGAGCCTTTCCTTACACAGGACCCACTGAGCCTCTTCCACTGGAGATCTATCTGGTCCTCCACTTCAGAAGGCATGTTGCTTCATTCTTTTAGATGATGAGAGGTTTTATTGCTAAATGGAAATATATTTCTCATGTTGGTTTTTTTGTTTTGTTTTTCTTTTGAGACATGGTCTCTCTACATAGCCTTGGCTGTCCTGGAACTCACTATATAGTCCAGGCTGGCCTCAAACTCAGATTCACCTTCTGTGACTCCCTAGTACTGGGATTAAAGGCGTGGGCCGTCACACCCGCCCTTACACTCTGAGCCAACCTCAGGCTCCTGGGGACAGGCATTTCACCTTTTGTTTATCTTTGTGCCTCACACGAACTTGCTTGTATTTCTCCTCTTGGCTGGCAGGACCAGTTTGACGCAGTGAGTGATGCTGACCTCCACAGCCTGGATGCCAAAATTGCAGCCCTCACTGCCAAGGTGCAGAGCTTACAGCAAAGCTGCCGCCACATGGAGGCTGGTAAGACCAGAACCCCTTCCAGGATGCCACGGTTTGGAAGTCACAAATTGCTGACAATGGTTTCTTATCTGCAGCATCTTATTGCAGCTAGGAACCCCTTTACCAGGTGCCTACACTATTACATTGAAAGAAGTGCAGAATTACTTAAGGCTTTTGTGTACAAAAAGGCAAGAGAAGAAGCCACTTGGTTTCCCTGCCGCAGTATGAGCACGCCACATTTTATTTCCGCTTCTTTAATTACCTGTGTATCAGTCTGCCCAACTTTATATGCCACTGTTACTTTTAGGTGGAGAAGGAAAGAGAAATAGAAAACTATGCTGTAAGCTTTTTTCTTGAGCTTTTCCAGAATGTGGGGTCCTATTCTGGAGAGGTCCCAGAGCAAGATGGAAGCTGACCTCCCACCTCTGGGAAGCACCTGCTGAGCAAGACGGAATCCATTCCTCGCATGTCCCTGGTAACACTGGGGGTGTGTGGTTTCAGAGCTGAAGGAATTAACAAATACGCTGACCACTCCTGAGATGCAGAAAGAGATCCAGGAGTTAAAGAATGAATGTGCCCGTTATACAGAGAGGCTAAAGAACATCAAAGCAGCCACCAACCATATCACTCCAGAAGAGAAAGAGGAGGTGAGCGGGGAGGCTGGAGGCTGCCTGTGCAGGTCTGGAGTGAACATGAGGTGCACAGACGGCTGTGGTTCTTCCTTGCAGGTGTACAAAGACAGACAGAAGTATTGTAAAGAGTGGAGGAAGCGGAAGAGAATGGTGAGAGCTCCAAGGGTGGCTTTGGAGGTGCTGGGAAGTGACGATCACCAGGGACATTTCTGTACAAAAGGATCCAGCAGCAGCAGGCAGCACCCTGTGCTGCTTCTGCCCAACTGAAAGGGGCTTTCTTCCTTGTCAGACCACCGAGCTGTGTGATGCCATCCTTGAAGGATACCCCAAGAGCAAGAAACAGTTCTTTGTAAGTGACGCTTGCTCTTACTCCCCTGGGATCTTTGCCCAGAGGACTCCTTCATTCCTTTCCTTGCCCCACAGGAAGAAGTTGGGATAGAGACAGATGAAGATCATAATGTCACACTCCCAGACCCTTGAGGGGCCCTTGGTGGAGTCTGGGAGCAGATGTCCCGGGCTGGCTGCCTTGTTTAGGTGGCCTTATTGTTTTTGCTGGTCTTCACCTTTGAGTGGTGGGGAGGGAAGTACAAAGCTGGTAATCAGAAAGAGATGCTCATGTCCATTTTGTTGTCTGTATTACCGAGGCCTCCCCAAGGACTTAGAACAATCCTAAGGGAAATTATCTAGAATATTTATTGCAATATAATTAGATATAAAAATACTTAATTTCCTCTGGATTATCAAACCTCCCAGATGTCAAACCTGGGGAAGGCAACAGGGAACACCGGAGAAAAAAGTACAGAAAGGTTTTCATACACCCAACATTTGAGAACCCTAAGGCCTACCCCCCAGGTGACCCAAGTGTCTTCTGTAGCTATCCCCAAGTCCTAGGAGGAATGTAGGCCAACACTGGTGCTGGTACACAGTACACAGAGACGGCTGGGTGCTCTGGGGGGTCACTGGGAATTTGGGGAAAACTATAACAAAAGCACGCTGTTGGTGTTTAGAAAATAAATTCATATGTGTTATGCTGTGAGATGCCTGCCTTCGGAAGAGTGGCTGAACATGCGGGACAGCAGGACCCTGGGAACCCTACCCTGAGCTGGCTAGAAAGCCCTGGCTTTGCTCAGTGCTAACCACACAGCACCAGCCTAGGCACAGGTGGCCTTTCACCCTTCGTGGCCACAAGACTCTTTCTTCTTTTTCCCAAGTCAAAAACTGCCAAAATACTCCAACTTGAGCCAAGTGTTGCCCAAGAGACCAAGCAGAGGCAAACAATTTCCAAATTATATATAGAGATTGTGAGCATAAACCCGGCAGCTAGAGAAAGGGCTGAGGGGCCACGGCTTCTGTGAGGGTCCCTGAACAGGCTCTTGTTCTAGACACTTTTCCTGGGAAGGGGGAAGTTGGGTGGGTCCAACACTGGGCAATATAATAAATTAATGAGAGGCCTTCAGAGAACAGCCTCACTGAAGTGGGGCTGGGCAAACCAAACACCAAGTAGAAACCAGCTGACCGGTGTGAGGTGTTGCAGTCCAGTCTCAGGCCCAGCAGTTCCACAGCCAAACAGACCAAAGACCTCTGCCCTGCAGGTTTCCAGAAGCCATCAGTAGAGCTGGTTCTTCAACTGATGTAGGACTCCAATCACAATTTCTCGTAGAGTCTAGGAAAGAACAGTCAGGTGTCAGTGCAGACCTGTAAGATGCCTGCCTAGACCAAGTGTGCTCTTGAACAGGGCATTTCAAATAGTCACCTAAGGGCTGGACATAGAGCTTGGGGTATGGAAGCAAAGGAGGGCTGGGAGATGGCTCACAGTAAAGCCTCTAGCCATGTGAGCCTGGTGAGCCGAGTTCCAGCTCCCTGGAACGCACATAGAAGTGAAAGGAAAGATCTGACTAAAAAAAAAAAGTTGTCCTCCACCCTCTCCATATGTGCTGTGGGGGGGGGGGGGGGAGATGTCTCATTGGTTAAGAGTGCTTGCTGCTCTTGTAGAAGACCCAGGCCTTGTTCCCAGCACCCAAATGGTGACTCACAACCACCTACAACTCAGGTTGCAGGGGATCCAATGCCCTCTTTTGGCCTCTGGCACACACATATGATGCACACATACATGCAAACAACACACATGTACGTAAAATGTGTTTTGTTTTGTCTTTTCCCTGAGATGGAATGTTGTCTACTTTTAATTTTCAAATACTCCTACTCCTGAAACAAACATGGAGACAGATGAGTATGCCATCGGTATAACTGACATGGTAGATATGGGTGTTCCCTGGTACAGTCTTTAAAGTACTTCACAATCAAAGTGTTGAGAAACTTAAAAGGTAGAACTCTGAGAAAAAATAGGCCTCAAGAGCAGAAGATGGCACAATAAAAGCCCTGGGACTATAGGGAGGTGAGGGTGTCTAGAAACTTCCAGTAACTGCTACTGGCTTTTCCATACAGGACAACCAAGGAGTAGAGTGGCTAATGAGTTACCAGTGACGTGGGCCAAAGCTGGACCTGGCACTGAGTGCTCACATTATGGTTGCCAGATGAGACCTTCACTGGGTTAGGCAGCAAGGAGAAACAGAATACTAAACTTGTAGACACCCTGTAGAATCCCAAAGACAACTACACTGCTTTTCTAATGGTTTGGATCCGTTTGCTTGGAGGTAATAAGAGAGCCTCAGACCCCATGACCCCTGCTGCCACATACCTGTGGCTCACAGTGTTCCTCAATCCAGCTGAAGACACAAGCTGACAGCTCCTGGAAGCTGGCCACAGAGATAGAGGCATTGAAAGACTGGAATAGTGAGTCCATGATGCCTTGGAACACGTTGAACTTGACCTGGTCAGAGACCTGGTCCTCCCCCTCGTGAGGGTTGTCTTGATGTGCCTTCACAATCTGCTCATAGTTCCTGGAAGCAGGCAAGCAAGCAAAGCTGAGGTGCTACCACAGCTTCACCAACCTGAGAAGCATGAGATAGCCCAGTGGTCGCCCCAGAAGAGGATTCATAGAGCCCTTCGGGGATGCATTCAACAGCTAAACACTACTAAATCAAAACTGTGACTCCTGCAACCTACAAGTGCTTTTCTTTCTTTTTTGTTTTTCTGAGACAGGGTTTCTCTGGGTAGCCCTGGCTGTCCTGGAACTGTACAGACTAGGTTGGCTTCAAACTCAGATCCACAGATCCACCCACCTCTGCCTCCTGAGTGCTAGGATAAAGGCGTGCCCCACTGCCACCAGGCCCCTGACCGGTGTTTATTTCCTGTATGTCTGCTCTATGTAAAAGGCTGATGGGGACAGACAGCCCTGCCTTACAGCGACTACCTTGAGTCGGCATTGCCTGCATACATTCTCCGATACAGCCTTTTTTTTTGTTGTTTGTTTTTTTGTTTTTCGAGACAGGGTTTCTCTGTGGTTTTGGAGCCTGTCCTGGAACTAGCTCTTGTAGACCAGGCTGGTCTCGAACTCACAGAGATCCACCTGCCTCTGCCTCCCGAGTGCTGGGATTAAAGGCATGCACCACCACCGCCCGGCTCCGATACAGCCTTTAAACAGAGAAAGTGCACTGGGGTTGACTTGCACGCCCCTCAGTTCCCCACCCTTCTTACACTTTCATTATCTTCAGGGCTGTGACATCCTTGCGCAGTGTGGATACTTCCTCCTCCTGCTTTTTCTTCTCCTTGTGTAAAAACTGGATGTAGTCGATGGCTGGTCAAGAGAGGGTTGGGAACAGAGAGGAAGTCTGAACCAGGAAGATGGCTCATTTTGTTTCCCCTTCCCCTGGAAGTCAACTTGCCCAGCACAGCCACCACACCTGGGTCAGACCAGGTACCAGCCAGTCCTGGTCACTACTACTACCCCTGCCCTGTCGCCCTGGTCATACTCTTCTGTAGAACGATGGCTTTGCTGAGTTTCTGGGAGCCAATGGAGAAATCCTGCTGCTGGCAAGTAGGGACAATGGTCTGCAGATCATCGTAGCCTCTCTGTGGAAATGGCAGTGAGATGCGTTTCTTAACTCAGGGACAAGACAGACTAGCGCAAACTTGATACCAGTTCCATGCTTAGAAACTCAAAGCATAGAGGGCCGGAAGGAGGGGGTAGGGGCAATGGACTAGCCCTGCAGACTGCTGGGACTAAGCTCAGGGCAGGGTGAATAAGAACCACGCAGAGTCCTCCCTTGCTTCCTGGAATACAGGCCCCTAGTCACCTTGATAGCGTCCCTCCTCTTCTGCTCAGCTTGAGTGTGTGCACGCCGCCTCCGGTCTTTGTAGGACTCCTTGTAGGACTCTTGCTGATAGTCACTGTCCTCGTCATCTACGCTCAGATGGAGGCAGGGGAAGGTCATGCAGGGTCCACTGAGTCCAGTAAGCCCACCTACCCCTAGTTTAAGAACCTGCTGCCCAGAGATGGCAAATGGAAGAACCTAGTGTCTTAGATGAACGATAGTGAGGTGAGGCTCGGCACTGCTCCAGCCGCCCCACGTGGACTGTGGCGCTCCCTATTAGGAAGGATACTAAGATGATGGCATAGCTGCGTTTCCCCGCGTGTGTGTGCGAAGTGTGTTGCTGCCTACCTGTGTTGGGGACGGAAGAGGCACTGGTGGAACCGATGCTATTAGCTCTGGACACTACACTCCCCTTGTGGGTGCTTTCTACAAAAAGCCCTGGAAAAAAGAGGCCTCAATCACTAAGAAGTGGGGAACATGACTAGGCCCTCGGTCACCAATGGGCACAATGGCTTCAAATGCTAACCTCTCCCCACCAACTCCAAAGTCAGCCACCACAGGCCACCCATTTCATGCTGCAAGCTCCTGTCTCTAGTGTCAACACTGCCCACAGGCCTAATTCCTGGCTCACACAGGGGCACCTGGATGAAATGAACACGCCCAGCTGTCACTGTTTCCATCATTTCCCGTTATAGAGCAGAGAAACCAGGTGTGACCCATGGTTGCTTCCTGCTTATCCTCCAGCTCCTCCCTCACTTCTCAATCCAGGGCCTTGGCGCAGTGACAGTGGACTGTGCTCAGGTGTGGCTGGCAAGACCACAAAGATCTACAGAGCTGAAACAGGTCATTCCTGACGCGAAGACAGTGGAGAAGCCACTCACCAGGGTCCAGGCTGTTGTCACTGTAGGCATACTCGACCTGCAGCATCAAGCAACGGAGAAGCCTGTCAGACCTTTGCCTCTTGGGAAAGGCACGCGCAATCCGCGGATGCACGCATCACGGATGCGGGGACCGCTGAATGGTTCTCCCAAGGCGAGCCTGGCTAGGCCGCAGGGGCGCCGCCCCCTCTGTATGACCCCTGCCGTTCCCGCCCCACCTCCCAGGCACGTCCCCCTTGTTCCCGCACACACGCCTCATTTGTCTCCCCACCTTGGCATACGCCGGGTGAGAGCTGTCTTCTCTGCAGCCCCGGGGCCCGGACAGCAGGGGAGACTCTGGGGATAGTTGGGGAGCCCCGCGTCTTCCGGACCCCCTACGTGCACGAGCCCGACCCGCCCTCCCCTCGCAGGCGTGCGCGTCCGCGGAGCTTGCCTTGACCCAGGGGTCCTCCGGAGAGGCGCCCGGCTCCGTCATCGTGGACCTACCGAACCGGAAACGAGCCTGCGGACTGGCCCCCAGCCTCCAGGAAGAGGCGAGGCTCAATCACGTGATCCAGCCCACCAATCTGCAACCGTGGGCATGGGCAGGGCGAAAGCGCAGCGCTTGCGCGGCTCCAGTTATTAAACGCCTGCTGGCGGTGGCCACACCTGACCAATTCGCGTTCTTAATGCAGGCAGTGTCAGCCCTCGTGGGTCCTGCTTGCCTCCAAATGAGAATCTAGAATGGAGGCAATTTTCTGTTCAATGGAGCTCTCAAAAAAGATTGTTAAAAGGGCTAGAAGTGTACTAGTTTGGGGGAGAGCCCCAAACCCGCGAGAGCCCCAGCACTGCTCACAAAAAAGCGTCTAAACAGTGAGACATCATGTACGCACGCGCACAGCTGATCGGGCTGGCAACCACAGCAGGGTCAAGAACTTCCCCTATGTCACATGATCAGATCCAATGGGAGCACAATGCCACCCCACACCCGGCTGGTGTCTGATGCAGCGCTTGTGTAATTAAACCTTCTGTAAAGGGGCCTTTGAAGTCAGGCTTATTGGCAGAACAGTAGAAAAATCTAACATACTCAAAAGCACATCGCTCGTCACTGATAGGCCTCAAAGGCTGCGCTCAACAATCCCTGGCTTCCAGCTCAGGCCTTGCCCCTGAATTTGGAGCTTAAATATCCAAAGATACCTAGAGGCACTGCAGCAGGAAGGAGAAACCACACAGGCAGCATTGGAAACAGCTTTAATTCGGTGACTGGGTCCAGTGTTTCAGCACGACCCATCAACAGTGGGCAGACATCACACATCCGCCACTGAAGAGGGAACAGAACCCTAGAGGGGACTGCTCCCCCATTTAGCTATGTCCTGCTGGCCAAATTCCAGCATCTAGGCAGACTTCCAGGCTTCTCTCTGTGTCCTGCACAGCTAAGCTAGAAGCCTCTTAAGCCTGCCATAGGGCGAACATGGAGGCCCCCACTCCTCCTCACCACTGGATGTTAGTCTGGGGGGGGGGGCAGTTTGGTGCCACAGAAAATTCGCTGTCAGTTCTTGGTCTGATGGGTCTTAGGGAGGCGCTTCTGTAGAAGAGTCCAGGCTTTTTCCACCTTTGGCCAGTCCAGAATGGTAGAAGAAAAGACGGGGTCAGGAGGATGACCACTGGACCTTCCCTCCCCACAACTTCCCTTTGCACCAACCTGTCGCTGCGTGACACGTGGGTCCCACAAGGTGCTCAGAACCACATGGCTCTGCTCCACCAGCTGCTGCCCGCTCATCTGGCTCTGCAGCCGGCTTTGAGCAGCTTCTTCGCTCAGTCCATCCCTCTCTACAATGCGTCGTACAGCCTGGGCACAGAGGGCACACCGATCAGGAAGGACCTCAGCTCAGTCTACTGGATCACAGCAGGAGACTACCTGCAGTGAGCTCAGACGGGGTAGAGTGGGGTCCAGATACCTCGGTCTCGGGGATGACAATGGTCCACACCTCGTGTACCATATTCTGCCAGCCGGCTTCCAGCAGCATGGCGGCATCAATCACACATACCGTCTTTCCTGTGGGGAAGCCCTAGTCACTGCCAGCAGCACCTTGACACTTGCTACCGCATGGGGCCACAGAAGACTCCACGTAATTTCCCCACTCTGGCCGCTACCGTCATCCCGCCCACTCACCCTGAGCCACAGCCAAATCCATCTCTTCTCGAGCCAGCTTCGCGATAACTGGCCACATAATATCTGTGAGGATCTTCAGCTGCTTCTGGGGAGGGGGACAGAGAGCGGGCAGAGGTTAGCGTCCCTGAGGAGGTGGGGGCTGGGAGCAGATGAGCAGAAACAGACTTCCTGTGCCAGATTCGGGAACCGAGGGTTCCGCCGGTTGGCAGCAGCTGCGTGTTTACCTTGTTGCCGAACACCCGGCTGCCCAGGATCTTCCTATTGATGGTGCCATCTTTATGGAGAATATCTGGGTGACAGAAAGACGGCTAAGTACAGAGGCCGGCCCATCTTCTTACCTTCGTCCACCTCCACCCCTCCACAGCCAGTACCTGTTCCAAAGGCCTCCACCACAGGCTGGTAGGCAGGGCCCCCAGGAGCATAGGCCCGATGGCCCAGATGGTCACTGTCAATGACATATGCACCCAGTTTCTTCAACCGCTGGGCTACTGAGCTTTTCCCAGAGCCGCTGATGCCCGTCAGCCCGAGCACATAGAGCCCTGACGGGATCTCTGGCCTCTGCTGCAGACAGGTAAGCGGGAACCTCAGTTACCAGGGAGTTCAGGCTCCCACTTCCCACGGACGGCCTGTTTCTACCCTCCAGCCTTTCCAACATGCACATTCGGTGAGGAGTTAGGGAAGGCAGACTTACGTTTGGAGCCTGAAGCAGGTTTCCCAGAATCCGCTGCCGGAAGCTGGAGGAGCTGACCTTATCCTCTTCGTTTTCACTGTGACTTTGGTCCTTCAGCAGCTGGATCTGGTATAAGGCAAGTTCCTCCTTGCCCTGAGGTGAGGCGGGGTAAGAGAAAAGACGAGACTCTGGAGGCCCCAGCTGCCCTCTTCCTCCACCTCCACAGGCAAGATCCTTCCGGCTTCCTCCACCCCGAACCCTCCCTTCCTGGCCCTGGGGCCACAGTACTTCCAACAGGCCTTCCCGTCCCATTCCCTCTGCCAGTCTCCTTCAGGGGTTACATTCTCAAGGCGGAAGCGGTTGACGGCCATCCCCCCACGGTAGGTCTCCTCGCTGACCACCAGGAACTCCAAGGTGGGGTCAGACCCAGCAGGCCCATAAGGGTCCAGCAGGGGGACGATATCAAAAGTCAGGGAGGGCTTGACGTCCACCAGGAACTCACTCAGATGGTCCACACGCTCTGCATAAGGCTGGAGCAGCTCAGGGAGTACCTTGCCTGGAGAAGGAGCCGAGAGCAACCGTGAGATCTTCCCATTGAGGCAGACAGATGCACGGGCACACTTGGGGAAGAATGCCCCTAGGCACTGAGATATCCCCAAGCAGTGGCAGCGAGAAAGGGTGAAACTGGGAGTTTGGGGGGAGGGGGACAAAGGGGAGGAAACAAACAAGCAGCACAGACACTGCAGGGGCTGGCATGTACCCAGAAAACGGGCCACCAAGAAATGACCACAGAGACGAAGCGGTGCCAGTAGGTATCAGCTAGGTGGGGAACTCCGAGAGCTACCCACTCTTAGCGCCCCCTCGCTGTCCGTGGCACCACTAGGTCACCTAAACTCATCTCCCAAACATTTTCAGTGTTTCAGAGCTGATCACTAGGAGAACCATAAAGGGCAAATTCCTTGGTTCCCATCTGGGGAGTTCTGACTTCAGTAAAGATGACTGAACCGCACACTAAGAATGCCACATGTATTCATCAGAAGTCCCAGAGCAGTAACAGTGCCAGGTGTTGTGGCATTTTGGAAGGGTGAGAGGTGGCCCTACCCTTCCTTGATCTTGGCACTGGGGGGGAGCCAAGAAAATTTAACGGGGCCGGGCGTTGGTGGCGCACACCTTTAATCCCAGCACTTGGGAGGCAGAGGCAGGCGGATCTCTGTAAGTTCGAGGCCAGCCTGGTCTACAAGAGCTAGTGCCAGGACAGGCTCCAAAGCTACAGAGAAACCCTGTCTCGAAAAACCAAAAAAAAAAAAAAAAAAAAAATTTAACGGGTGTCCTCCATTGCCCTATTCCGGGGTCCACTCACTCTTCAACAGATCTTTGTCTGCTACTCCCACCACAAGCTGCTCCTGGGCCAGTACACATGCAACACTGAGCAACACTTTGTGGGCATTGTGCAAGCGGTCAAAAGTGCCACCCACGGCCCCACGGTGGTAGCCACGCACAGGCTGCTTTGGAGATCTGGCAACCGGGGAAGCTGGCCTTATGGTGGAGGGTAAGGGGACATCCGGGGACTCCACAGGCAGCTCTCCAGTTCCATAATCCGGGTACAGCAAGATAGAGGACAACTGCGAACTGCAGCTGTAACAACTGGTGGCATAGCGCTCTAGCTGTTGTTTAACAGGGTTGTACTGGCTCCCATCCAGGGTCTGGAAGTCCGTAAGTATTACTTCTGGAGGGTGGGCCAGATTCTGGACCGAGGGCAGAACAGGGAGGAAACTGCTCTTGGTCTGGATATTGGTCAGTAGAATTCTGACGTCCAGGTGCCTGAGCAGGTCGGCGCCGCTGTAGAGGTGCGTGATGAAATCCAGAACTTCAAAAGTGGCCTGCACAGGGCTGGCCTGGGGCTGGGCGGGGCCCCCCAGGTCCATGCCCGGTTGCAGGTGCACATAGAGGGTGTGATTGACCAGGCGGGCCGCCGAGGTCAGAATGGGCGGCAGGCGTGGGGCCAGGGTGGCCAGCGGCGTTGTCAGCACCAGGAGGCCAGAGCGGAATACGGCCATGCTGCCCAGGCCTGCAGACAGGGAGACGAAGCGAGAGTGACTAGCTGGGCTGAGGACGAGGGCTGCAGGGGAACTCGGATGCAGGAGGAGGGACCTTGAGCAGGGCTAGGGACCTTGAGCAGGGCTGGGGACCGTTCGCTGACGAGGGCTGCAGGGGAACTCGGATGCAGGAGGGACCTGGAGCAGGGCTGGGGACCGTTCGCTGATAGAAACTGGAATCCTGGCAGGGGGAACCGGCCGGGAACCCCTGAGTCATGGGGGCTGGGGCTTCAGGAATCCTAGTCCCTCTGGTTAAACTGAACCGGCATCTGCGAAGACTCGAATACGGGGACTAGAGGGGACGCTGTGGCTCGGGCCGCTTCCCTACTCACTGAGTTCTTGGGATTCTGCTTCTACTTACACCGCCGCGGAGGCGTCCTAGGCTGCGGCCCGGAAGCACTACCCTCAGATCTCAGAGCGCGGAGCTACGGGAACCCGAAGCAGTCAAACGGTGCAACTCCGAGGTTGTGGCAGAATTCTCGAGAAGACCTCTGGGGAGGGGCGCGTCGGGGCGGGGCTGGGCGCAGAGGCTTCGGGGTTGCGCGGAACCCTGGCACCGGATTCTCTTGGAACTGGCAGGAAGCGGGCAGAGCGAGCTGCAAAGCCCGTTTTGCGGATTCCCGTTGACCTTTGCTTCCCTTAGCTTGCTAAGAGACCGTGACAAAGCCAGGACCCCTCCCAGCGTCCCTTCTCAATGAGAGAGACAGGGAGAGTGGGGTCGCGTTGCTGTGCTTGCTCCGGGCCAGCGTTCCCAGGGATGTTGCTGGACATCCATTTCACATAAGGGAAACGGGGCTTTTGAGTGTTTTGGAACACTTGGGGGCGGGTCTCGTGGCTTCCTAGAACTCTCGTTTGCAGGGAGAGGCAAGAAAGCGATCTCTGCTGTTAGGTCAGTAACGCTGCGGGGGCAATCTTTGACCTGGGAAAAGGGAGACCTAGGGGTGAGGATACCCGGCGAAGTTAACGAGGGCTGGAAAACCATGAGGGCTAGAGAGTCGAGTTGGTAGTCAAGAGTGTGGAGGGGAAGCCAGATGTAAACAGAAAACATCTCAGGTAAATCATCCACGGAGATCGCAAAAAGGAGAGCAACCCAGCCTCAAGATTCCTAAAAGAGCCTAGCGTTGATCTGCGATCCCAGCTTTGATCCCAGAAGGATCGCTGCAAGTTCAAAATCAGCCTGAGTTACAAAGCAAGGCTGTGAACGTGGTAGGAGCTGTAGGACCTGTAATGTGTGCAGTGGTCCAGAAATCTGGCCTTATAAAGTAACGAATCTGTTAACTCCTTCTTGCAGGAGGAGTTAAAACTGGATTTCAGAGATGGGAGTCTAAGGAGCCGATGGTTGGGGAAGTGTCACTCTTAACATTGGGCACAGTTACGTTTTTTATTTGCTTGTTTGTTTTGAGACAGCATCTCGCTGTGTCGCTGACAAAGCATTGCTTTCATTAGGTAAGTGTCTATTTGGTGCACTGTCCTAGGCATAAAGACAGAACAGAGAACAAAAGTCGCTGAAGTGGATTCGTGTGTGTCCTAGGATGGATAAACAATAAATCCAGAATACACCCAGTGTTGCTGAGACAATAAAAAGAACTAAAACAGAGGGAAGGAACTATACTGGAGGGGAAGGGATACTTTTTTGGCAAGGTGGCCCAGGGAAATAGCAGAGATCTAAAGAAAATACAATCAGAGATCAGGGGAAAGTGGACCAGTTAAAAGATTCCAAGTTGGGGCTGGAGAGATGGCTCAGTGGTTAAGAGCAGTGCCTGCTCTTCCAAAGGTCCTGAGTTCAATTCCCAGCAACCACATGGTGGCTCACAACCATCTGTAATGAGGTCTGGTGCCCTCTTCTGGCCTGCAGACATACACACAGACAGAATATTGTATACAAAATAAATATTTAAAAAAAAAAAAGATGGCTAGTTACCTGGCGGTGGTGGTGCACACCTTTAATCCCAGCACTCGGGAGGGGAGGCAGAGGCAGGCGGATCTTTGTGAGTTTGAGGCCAGCTAGTTCCAGGACAAGCTCTAAAGCTACAGAAAAACCAAAAAAGAAAGAAAAGAGAAAAATTGTAGCTGGATGGTGATGCACTGGCCTTTAATCCCAGCACTCTGGAGGCAGAGGCAGGCAGATAGATCTCTGAGTTCGAAGCCAAACTGGTCTACAGAGTAATTTCCAGGATAGTCAGGACAACACAGAGAGACCCCGACTCGGAGGGGGGGATGGACATGGGGACAAGTGTCAATGAAGGTATTAGGGGGCCAGGAGAGCAGAAGTGTGCACGGATGAAGAAGGTGGCATGTGAGGTCACAAAGGATACAAGAACTGGAAAGATGAATCATGGATAAAGCCCAAAGGACTCAAGTTCAGATCTCCAGATGCATATAAAAGTGTTTCCTTGGAGAGGGAAGGGGAGGGGGAGGGAAATGGGAGGATGGGAGGAAGTGAAAATATTTAATAAATTTTAAAAAATAATAAAGTGTTTCCTTGATGTCCTCCTGTAATGCCAGCATTGGGGACTAAGAGATCTAGGGCTCTTAGGGGCAAACTGCTAGTCTAGACAAGCTGGAATCAGTGAGACCCTGCACCAGTAAACAGACTCCTGACTTCAACTGTGGACACACACACATATATCTGTATACACACCTGCCCACATACATGGGAACACACATAGACACAAGCACAAGCCAAAAGATACAGGGACATAATAGAAAGTCTTGAGGACTTAGGGTAAAACATTAGATTTTACTCAGATGGAGGTGGCACAAAGTATCTTCTACCCTCAAACTCTGAGGGATCAAACTCTGCCTTCTGAAGCAAGCTCAGTCCTCTGAGCTAGACTCCCAGCCCAGCCAAGGGTGTTTTAAGCAGATACAATTCCCCCACCCCCAACACCCTTTTGTTATTGTTGTTGTTGAGACAGGGTTTTAACTATGTAGCACTGGCTGGTCTGGAATTTATTATGTAGATCAGGCTGACCTCCCTCCGCCTCCCAGAATGCCTTGGCTTGTTCTTTTTGAGACAGGGCCCCTCATATCCCAGGTTGGCCTTGAATTTACTACTCAGTGGATGGATGATCGTGAGTTTCGGACCCTCTTGCCTTTACCTCTCGGATTCTGAGACTACAGCAGTGCTACTCACTAGGTTTTTAGTAGCTGTAGTATTTTATGTATATAAGTGTTTTGTCTGTGTACCACATGCATGGCTGGTGCCAACTGGGGCCAGAAGAGGGGATAGGATCCCCTAGAATTGGAGTTACAGACAGTTGTGAGCCTCCATATGGGTTCCAAGAACTGAACCCAGGCTATGCCCAATTGAACAGCAGCCAGTGCTCCTAACCCCGCCCCCAGCTACCTCTGTACCTCCCCCCCTTGGGCTCTCTAGCAGCCCAGATTGGCTGAATCCTCCTGCGTTCACCTATATAGTGCTGGCATTAGCGCTGGCTCTTTCTGTATACTCGCTGCTCTCAGGATGCATTTAAAGAAATCACACTAGGAAGTCCAGCCTGGCGGCTCAGGCCTGTACACCCAACACTCGGGAGGATCAGAAATGTCAGTCATCCTCAGCTACACAGCTGGTTCAAGGCCACCCTGGGCGACGTGAGACACCAATTCGACAACAATTGGGCTGATCCCAGTCATCGCAGACAGTTAAAACCTCCCCCAACTTGCTGGCTCATCAGTTAAAGGCATTTCCCGTTCAAGCCTGAAGACCTGGAGTCCATGGTGGGGGAGAGAACAAAGTCCCCTGACCTCTGCACTCTGTGCCATGGTTGATTGTGTCCCCATCCACATCATGAACAATAATAATAAATTTATTGGAAGAAAAAAAAACCCTTAACCTAGAACCTCGGACTATATATATTAGCCCTCAATCTTGACCCATGAGAAAGTTTGCACTATTTAAAATGATTCTGAGAAGGGCATGGTTGCACAGGCCTTTGATTCCAACCCTCAGGAGGCAGAGGCAAGCGGATCTCTATGAGTTAGAGGCCAGTCAGGGCTACATAGTGAGACCCCATCAAAGAGAAAACAAATTCTAAAATAAGAAAAGGAGACTCTGGTTTAGTTCTTTTGCTGGTAGCATGGTTTGTTCTGACCCGGCTTATCCAATGCAGGCCAGCACAATTCAGATGCCACCTGAGGGGTCGTGCTCCCAGAGAGGCAAACGAGGGCGCTGGAGGCCGCGTCCAGGTCCCCCGGGACTCTGGCCCCTGTCTCGGAGCCTTCCTGCGCCTGGTGGTCAGCGAAGGCCTCGCGGTGCATGGCAGCGACGTAGCTGTTGCCGCTGGGATCCTCTGTGCGCAACCGAGTCAGGGGCAGGAAGCGGTGGGTGGAGAAGTAACGCAGGGCTGGCCGCGGGGCTCGCAGCGCGGTCAGAAAGAGCTGCGGCGGGAAGAGCAGCACCGGTCTGTGGGGGAACCACTGGGGGGGTGCACCGCCACGCCCCACCCGGAGACTGTGCCCGGAGGAGGTCCCGTTTGCACCCACCTCTGTCACTTCCTCTGGGTCCTGTGCCTCGCTCAGAGCTTGCTCATAGCTACGCTGGTAATGCGTGAAGAGGTGGCGGGTCTGGGCATCTGCACGCTCCAGAGCCCCGCCGGGACCACCCTCTAGCTTCTCAAAGAAGGCTGTGTGCACTGGCCCGCACTCGATGAGGCTCACGCTGCAGGGGCAACAGCAGTGACTGGTTATTGCCTGTGACCACAAGCCTAACCTTAGCTCCACAAAGGGAGGGCACTGAGAGGGACTGTGCCCAGGTGACAGATGCTGGTATTACCAGAGCGCTCTGGAGTCTAGTCACCTACTCGCTCTGTTTTACCCATCCCAACATGCCTTAAAGCTAGGGAGGCTTGTGAAGTGAGATAACCCGTGCCAAGCTCTCTGCATAGCATCCAGCACACAATGTGAGCTGGAAAAGGAGGGCCAGAGGCATTGCCCAAGAATGTCTTCAAGTTTGGGGTTCCCAAACTTCAGAAGATTGTGGAAGGCTGGTGACTCACTGGATTCCAAAGAGCGGCAGCAGGATCGCTAGACTCTCGCACAAACCCTCGAGCGCAAACTTGCTGGCGCAGTAAACTTCGTGGAACGGCAACCCTAGGAGGGGAGTCAAGGTTGCAGAGGCCCTGGCGCTCCTCGCCTTGCTCAGTACCCCTTACTTACTGACTCTGTCCCTTTTGCTCACCCATCAAGCCTCCTACACTCGCAGTCACTAACACACGCCCGGAGTGGCGCCTCTTCATGTCCGGCAGAAAGGCCTGCAGCATCCGAACTGTCCCAACCACATTCACGTCCAGCACAGCACCCACCGCGTCCAGCTCATGCGCCTCCAGCGGCCCGAATAGGCCCCGGCCGGCATTACACACTGGAGGGAGAGAGAACAGACACCGCTTGTTCATGCATGGCTCTTTCCCACCCCCAGCTTGTTCTCCCATGTTCCCTGAACTCGGTACTTCCCGGTCTGGTTGAACACTGGGTAAAAGCCTATTACATGTATTTCGGTTGGCTCACCCAGCACGTCCACACGACCCTCGGTCACACGAGCCTGGGCAGCAGCCACAGATTTTGCATCCCTGACATCCAATTCCAGCGTCTCCAGGGAGCCAGGAGGGCATCCTCGAGCCCGGGCTGCCTCCAACAGTGGTCCCTGAGTCTTCAGGTCCCTCAGTGTGGCATATACTAAAATTTGGGAGGGGATAAATTACTCATCACCCTGCTTACCTGTGGGGGCTCTTCCCTGGCCTCCATGCCTGTCCCCTCCTATACCTTTGAAGCTCTGGGACTGGTCAGAAGCTAAACGAACAGCCAAGTGCAGGCCAATTCCAGAGGAGCAGCCGGTAATCAGCACTACTGTACGGTCCATGGCCAAGGGCACTGATGCTGGGAACAGGAAGGGTCCTAGTGGCAGGCTGGGGCTGGGTTTCTGCTTGACTCTTTCCAGTGCCAGTGCCCCCGCCCCTTGTTGTGTCTGCCAGCAATCTCAAGGCTGAGCCAGGTCCCTGGCAGGCTCTCCCCACCCTGCTGTGGGACAAAGCAGAGGAAAGGTGGTTGTGTCACCAAGCTGGCTCAGTAGGTCAGGGTAAAGGAGAGGCTCTCTAAGTACCAACTGGGTGCTCGGGTGCAAACTGAGCAGTGCTAGGGAGAGCTGGCCACAGGGACGAACCTTCTGCCCAAGGAACTTCTTGTTTTTGAGACAAGGGTCTTGCCAGGTAGACCAGGCTGGCCTCAAACTTACATCCACCTGCCTTTTTTTTTTTTTTTGAGACAGGCTATCTTGTACCCAAGGCCACCTTCAAATTCATAATATAGCTCAGGTTGCCCTTGAACTTCTGACCCCTCCAGCCTCTACCTTTTCAGGGCTGTTATTTCAGGTGTGTACCATCTCTCAAGAAGATTACCAGCTTGCTGCAGTACAGCTTCTAAGGGGACCAGTGTTAAAACGGGGATGCTGAAGTAAGGCCTGGGAAGAAATGCCCCCACACCAGGCTCCACATGGACACCCACGCCCTTCCAGACATACCAGGATGAAGGCGTATCCGACCGGTACGCTAAAATAACCAGACCAGCTCAAAACAACAGACATAGTTTAATAATTGAAAACGGGGAAACTCACGCGACCTGAGTAAAAGTTCCGATGTCCAAACTGGTCAGGCGAACGCACACGCAGAGAGCGAGCGCACGTGGATCTCCAGCTTTATCTACCTGGCTCCAGGCGGCCACACCCTAGCCAGACGTGATCGGCTGAGCTTCCCCACCACCAGCAGTGTACTGCACCTCGGTTAATAGAGCCAGGCTGGTTCAGCGGTTTATTGTTAGCAGAAAACAGTACTTTAGCCCCCAGATGTAGGGTGACTGCCCAGAGTAGCTCATTTCCCTCCCAGCCATGGCTGACCCTGCTGCTCCTTCTCCCAGGTTCAGGGATCACACTGTACTTTTTCGGTTTGAAGACCTGATCCAGCAGATCCCTGGATCTGTCTGTCACAAAGAGCCTGCCTGGGGGTGATATCTGAGGAAGATCTTCTTGGCTAGGTCCACAGTGTCCCCTTGGGGCTGACTGGGGTATCTCTTCCTATTGATAACGAAGGCCTGCTCCAGTGGGAAGACATTCTTCTCAAACTCGTGCTGTTGGAAGGGGACTCCTCTGGCTAGGCTCTGAGCCAGAGTTTCAACGAAGAGACCCCAGCGCGGCTGGTAGTAGTCAGCCACCAGTCCCGCCAGCTGCTTATTGGCGTAGTCTAGAATGTTACCCTCAGGCCCCCACAGGGTCAGCTGGTAGCGGCTGTTTTGGTCATAAAACTGGGCCTCGGCTTCACTCACAGCCACTGCCCGGGCCTGATCCAACCAGCTGCCCAGCAGGAAGCGGCTGTCACTGGCCAGCAGCTCATCCAGGGCAGGCAGGAGCTTATAGGCCAGAAGGCCTCCAGCCCTGAGCAGGAGATCGAGCTCCCCCTTCAGGTAGGCGGTCCTGGCCTCCTCATAGCACAGACTGACCAGCTCTTGCACTGCTTGCCTGGTGACATCCAGCAGGTCATAGCGGAAGGCTGGACTGGCGGTCAGGTTGGGAGCCGCAGCCAACAGCAGTCGCCAAGCCTCAAATACATCTGATCGGTTGTACCAGACGGTGGTATTCATCCGTAGGGATGGTCGCTTGACCAGCGGGCTCCGATTGTGCCCACTGCAGGTTTGCCCAGAGCAGTTGTAGACACTCCTAAGAAGGAGTCTCCAGGCTGCCCCCACATCCGGTTGGGAGATCCCATATCGGCGACTGGCAAAGCCACTCACCCAGGCCACCAAATCTGGCACAGGGTCCTTGCGCCAGCCCAGTTCGGCCATGAGAGCATAGACCACTTCATTCTGGCCAATGCCCTCAGGGACTATGCCAGTGCCAACCATGGTGGAGTTGGGGAAGAGGCGGGCTGCCCTGGGGCCTTGGTTCACAGCCTCCAGGGTTCCAAACAGGCCATGGTTGCCCCCAAAGTTGTGGAGCATGCACCAGATGAAGGGCTGGCCGTGGAAGGAGGCGGTGTGGAGGTAAACTGGCTGGCTCTCGGCAAACAGGTCCAGAACCAGGAGACGACCTCGGGGCACAGCCTCCAGCACAGCCTTGACCTGAGCAGGGCCCCAGAACTGGGGCTGATGCTGGAAAAGCCAACCTTGGAGCAGCCACATAGCATCGGGGTCCACTGTGGGGGGGGGGGAGCAAGGGGGGCAAAGAAAGAGATGAGGAGGCTGATGTGGACCCTATTCTGCCCAGGAAGAAAGAAGGCGATTGTTACAGGGCACTCATCACCCATGTCTGATCCACCTGCTGTTCTGCCACCCCCGGACCCCTCCCCCAACCTGCCTCCTCCTGTACAGTACTTAGCCAGCTTCTTGGACATCAGAGCTACCCAGAAAGTTTAAGGCACGGATGCTTGGGCCCCAAATTCTGGACCTGCTCAATCAGGAAACCCAGCGGTTGGGCCTGAGAATCCTCATATCTGAAAGTATTTGGGTTAAGATAGTGTTGGAGTATGTTTCTCCAGGGTTCATAAGTAAAAGATTAAAGTTTTATGCCTAATCTCCACTGTGAGACAAAAAGGTGGAGACTCAGGTCTGCGAGACGGCCCTGCTAGGGAAGGTTCTTAGTGTTAAACCTGACACCCAGAGTTCCATCCACAAGCCCACAAGACAGAAGGAAAGAACAGACTCCTACGAGCTGTCCTGTGACTTCCGCATGCCCCTTATTTTTTTAAAAAATATTTATTTATTATGTATACAATATGTCTGTCTGTATGCCTGCAGGCCAGAAGAGGGCATTATAGATGGTTGTGAGCCACCATGTGGTTGCTGGGAATTGAACTCAGGACCTTTCGAAGAGCAGGCAATGCTCTTAACCTCTGAGCCATCTCTCCAGCCCCCCCCCCCCTTACTTTTTCCTTAGTTGAAAAGCTACAGCCAGTGCCGTGGTGGTGCACACTTTTAATCCCAGCACTTGGGAGGCAGGGAGGCAGAGGCAGGTCGATCTCTGTGAGTTCAAGGCCAGCCTGGTCTACAAAGCAAGTTCCCCAGGGCAGTCAGGGCTATTATACAGAGAAACCCTGTCTCGAAACCATTCCCCTCCCCCCCAGAAAAAAAAAGAAAAAAGAAAAAAAAAATGAGGCTTGGGCCTTTGGCTCCAGATCATGCCTGGAGAAGCATAAGCCAATGTGTGCCTTTCGGGATGACCCATCATGATGACAAACAGCTCTCCCTCACTTGGGCCCCTCCTCTTCTGTAAGTGGTAGAAAGTGGTAGATAGAAGTCTTGGCCTCATATCTGTCGGACAGGATGGATGTAGAACCTCTGGCCTTTACAACTGATCCCAACAATGAGGTGGAGACAAATAAATTATTGTTGCTGTTGCTTGGTTTTGAGACAGGGTCTTTCCACCTCAGCCCGGTTGTCCTGGAACTTACTGTGTAGTACTGGTTGGCCTCAACTCAGGGATCCACCTGCCTTTGCTTCCCGAATACTAAAATTAAAAGTGTGCGCCACCATGACCAGCTCCAAATAAAAGCTCTGCTATTGCTGTTGTTCGTGTATCTGGTGTGTATGTGTGCACACACGTGGGGAAGCCGCAGAACAACTTTGTGGCGCTGCTTCTCTCCTTCCATCTTTGTGTGGGTTTCATGCATCAACTTCAGGTTGTTAGGTTTGAAGGCCTTTACTCATCAAAGCATCTCGCTGCTGCTACCACCCCCTTCTGAAGTAGCCCAGGCTGGCCTTGAACTCCCAATCCTCCCACCTCTGCCTCCCAAGCACTACGGTTACAGGCCTGTGCCACCATGCCTGGCTTAAAATATTTTTATTTTTATTCACTTATTTGTTTGTTTGCTCATTCAAGACAGGGTTTCTCTGTGTAGCCCTGGCTGTCCTAGAACTTGCTCTGTAGAACAGGCTGGCTTGGAACTCAGAGATCCACCAGCTTCTTCTGCCTTTCCAAGTGCTGGGGTTGAAGGCATGCACCACCATTACCCAGCTTAAAAATCTCGTTCATAAACTGGGCGGTGGTGGCGCACACCTATTTAATCCCAGCACTCGGGAGGCAGAGGCAGGCGGATCTCTGTGAGTTCGAGACCAGCCTGGTCTACAAGAGCTAGTTCCAGGACAGGCTCCAAAACCACAGAGAAACCCTGTCTCGAAAAACCAAAAAAAAAAAAAAAAATCTCGTTCAATGGCTTTTTTTTTTTTTAACAAAGCTAGGCACCCTGCTCTACTAGATGAAGCAACAAACCCCGGGAGGGAAAGAATCACTTGCCAATATCAGCCAGACCTCAGCCCCCAGAGTGGGTAAGTAGCATGGCATATATGCACAAAAGCCTGTTGAGCTAGAAAGTGTGGCATCCCCAGGGTACAGGTCCTCCTCCCACCCACCCCCTCTCCCTGAGGTCCCAGGGGGCTTCCAATCCACCATACCTGCAATCATGGCCTCATAGACAGCTGCAGTGGTTGCAGTGAGGTAGGAAGGCTCCGGAGAGGGTGGCTGCATCTCGTTGAAGGTGTCAGCCCCGTAGATGTGATCTGTGCCAAACTCTTTGGTCAGCTCCCGCAGGAAGAGGCTCCCGATGAGGGGGTATACGGGGTCCCCTGGAGCCAGAAGGAAGGAGCACGAGTAGGAGCAATTGAAGTGTCCCCAGCTGCCTAACTGGGTGACGTTGACCTGTGGGAACACCCTGTGGGGGAAAAAGAGGCTCAGGGTTGGCAGAGGCTGATGCAGTGTTTGGCTTGGTCTTATACCCCTCATCAGCCTCACATCTGTGGCTTTCTGGAATGTGTCTGAGTTTCTCACAATGCCATGTCTTTCCATACACTACATCCCTTGCCTGGTACACTTCCTCCACCTCTAAGGCTTATCCGCCCGGTTCTTCCTCACTATCCCCAAGAGTAGCCTGTCTAAACAGGCTCTGCTATCTTCCTCTGCCAATCATTTCTCCATAGGGACAGAGCCATGGGTGCCTTTGTCACTGCAACCCCAGGACCCAGCACGGGACTGGGTCTGACATCTGTAGACACCTGGGAAGATGTTCACTGAATGAGAAGAAGGAGGTTCCAACTGCTTGGTGAGCAAGAAGAAGGGGTAGCCCATACTCGGTGACTGTGAGGGGAGCCAGGTGCTCCCAGGCATGATGGGGGCACCAGGAGGTGTTGGCAAGGCTTTACGAAGGAGGAGACTCATCCAGACCTCGAAGGTCTGTCCAACCACAGAAGAGAAGACAGGGTACAAAACACGGGCAGAGACCAACACAGCCCCTGGGTCACTGGCAAGACCAGCAGCTTACTGACATTCTGTGCTCGTATACACGTACCCAAGGTTTGCAGGAACTACCTGTTAGTAACTTTTCATTCCTTTTCTTTAAATATTCTTCTATTAATAATATTAATAACAACACACACACACACTAAATTAAACTTAGGGACTGAAGTGATATCTCAGTAGTTAAGAACACTGGCTGTGCCAGGAGGTGGTGGCAGATGCCTTTAATCCCAGTGCTGTAGGACAATGGTTTTACCCTGGAAAGATTTGTTTCTTGTACTAGTTTAATAAAATATTGATTGGCTAGTAGCCAGGCTGGAAGTAGAGGCGGGGCAACGAGAACAGGAGAATTCTGGGAAGAGGAAAGTCAGTCTGGAGTCATGATCCAGAGACAGAGGAAGCAAGATGTGACTGTCTTGCCAAAAAAGATACCAAACCATGTGGTTAACACAGACAAGTATTATGGGTTAATATAAGTTATAAGAGTTAATAAGAAGCCTGAGCTACTAGGCCAATCAGTTTATAATTAATGTAGACCTCTGTGTGTTTTCTATGGGACTGAACGACTGAAGGGCCGGGTAGGACAGAAATCCCTGTCAACATCCCAGCACTGGGGAGGCAGAGACAGGCGGATCTCTGTGAATCCGAGGCCAGCCTGGTCTACAGAGTGAGTTCCAGGACAAGCTCCAAAGCTACACAGAGAAACCGTCTCAAAAGACAAAAAAACAAAAACAAAACCCAAAAAACCAAAAACCAAAACAAAACACTGGCTGCTCTTCCAGAGGACCAGGTTTGATTCCCAGCACTTACATGGAAGTTCACAGCCATCTGTCACTCCAGCCTTAGGGGATCTGATGCCCTCTCCTGTTCTCCACCAGTAGTAGGCATGAATGTGGTACGCGCACACACACACAGACACACACACAGGCAAAACACCCACACACATAAAATAAACTAAACCTTTTAAACTTGGTGAGCTTTCTAAGTTTGATGCTAATCATTTGGGAATACTTTAAGATTCATTGACTTTTATGTGCATGAGTGTTTATCTGCATTTATGCAGGTGTATGCAGCGCCTGAAGTCATCAGATCCTCTGGAACCGGAGAGACAGATGGCTGTGAACTACCACGTGAGTGCTGGGAACTGAACCATGGTCCTCAGCAAGAGCGGTGGGCCCTGACCCCCGTGGGTATAAATTTACATATAGAAAGACTGGGTTTCTCTATGTAGTTCAGGCTGGCCTGGAACTGGTGGTGTCCCCACCTCAGTCTCCTGAATACAAAGATCAGAAGAGTGTGTCCCATCCTACCCAGCAATGGACCCATTTTACAAGCAAGAAAACTTAGTCACGGAGACGTCAAGTCATCTGTTCAGGCAATGGCCGATGGCAGAACCAGGAGTCAAGAGACACCAATGTCCAGAGCTTTTGTGATTACATAATGCTTTTCAGGGCAAACCTTTTCCCTTTGAGTTGAATAAGGAAGGCCTCACCTGGTAATGGCCTTGGGGACGTGTCCTGCGAAGGCAGGCAGCACTGGGATCATGCCAAAGGAGCGCATCCGGTCCAGGATCCGATGCTGAGAGGGACAGAGGTCAATGTGCCAGGACCTCTGCTGGGAGAGGCCCTTGCTTATTCAGGGAGGGAAGTTCCCTGTGGACCAGTTAAGTGCCTGAGGGCTAAGCATTGCCATCCCTGGGTCTGAGACCACCCAACACCTATTCTGCCTTTTCCTTCTCCACTCCTTACCTGCAGGTAGACTTGCTTGAGATGCCAGGAGCGGGGCAGGGGGCCACCCCAGGTGTGCAGATTTCCCATGCGTTCCCAGGCCAGGAAGGCCGGACCGGTGAAGTATTCATCGATCTCTGACTGGGTCAGGCCCAAGGCCAGGTATACCTGCAGAAGGAAGAGCCCCCACACCTGTAAACACATGACTCTCCATTCATCAGCCTCTCTACGCTGGGTGCTGCTGCTATAATACGAACTGGAGTCCAGCCTGCAGGGAGCTCCAGTCCAGAAGAAATGGACCTGCTGGGTAGGAGAATCCACAAAAATAACACCTTTGTGGGACGGGTGAAGATACAGGACCTAAAGGGGCTTTGTGACCCATGGAGAGTCTCTCTGCCAGTTTTTTGTTTTGTTTTGTTTGTGAACTTTACTTAAGCTAGGGTTATCTGGGAAGAAGAAACCTCCACTGAGAAAATATCCCCATCAGATTGGCCTGTAGGCAATCCTGTGCAGGATTTCCTTTTCTGTTTGTTTGTTTTTGAGACAGGGTTTCTCTGTGGCTTTGGAGCCTGTCCTGGAACTCACTGTGTAGATCAGGCTAGCCTCGAACTCACAGAGATCTGCCTCTCTCTCCCTCCCTCTCCCTCCCTCTCTCTCCCTCTTCCTCCCTTCCTCCTTCCCTCCCTCCCTCCCTCTTGAGTGCTGGAATTAAAGGTGTGCACCACCACTGTCCAGCAGGGCATTTTCTTGACTGATGATTGATATGGAAAGACCCAGTCTGTTGTGTGCAGTGCCATTCACAGGCAGGTGATTCTGGGTGTATAAGAAAGCAAACTGGGCCAGGCGGTGGTGGCGCACACCTTTAATCCCATCACTCGGGAGGCAGAGGCAGGTGGATCTCTGTGAGTTCGAGGCCAGCCTGGTCTACAAGAGCTAGTTCCAGGACAGTCAGAACTGTTATACAGAGAAACCCTGTCTCAAAAAAAAAAAAAAAGAAAAGAAAAGAAAAGAAAAAAAGAAAGAAAAAAGAAAGCAAACTGGGGCTGGAGAAATGGGTTGGTGGTTAAGAGCACTGGCTGTTCTTCCAGAAGTCCAGAGTTCAATTCCCAGCAACCACATGGTGGCTCACAACCATCTGTAATGAGAACTGGTGCCCTCTTCTGGTGTACTTGAAGACAGGTCACTCATATACATAAAATAAATAGATAAATATTTAAAAAAAAATGTTGTGCTGTGGTCTGGCAGTATGGAGACACCCAGGCAACTTGCCTCAGAGTTTCTTTTTGTTTGTTTGTTTTTGTTTTTGCTTTTGTTTTTTGTTTGTTTGTTTTTTTCGAGACAGGGTTTCTCTGTAGCTTTAGAGCCTGTCCTGGAACTCACTCTGTAGACCAGGCTGGCCTCAAACTCACAAAGATCCGCCTGCCTCTGCCTCCCGAGTGCTGGGATTAAAGGCATGTGCCACCATCACCTGGTGCCTCACAGTCTTGAACATAGGGAAGATCTTCCTTTAAAAAAAAAAAAAGAAGAAGAAGAAAGCAAACTAAGAAAATAATATAAGCAGTGTCCCTCCATGGCCTCCACCTCCATGGTTCTTGAGAAAATAATATAAGCAGTGTCCCTCCATGGCCTCCGCCTCCATGGTTCTTGAGAAAATAATATAAGCAGCGTCCCTCCATGGCCTCCGCCTCCCTGGTTCTTGCCTTCTACCTGGCTGGAGTTCTACCTTGGTTTCCCTCAATGATGAACTATGGCTGGATGTGTAAACCAAATGAGCTCCTTCCTTCCCTAGTTGATTTTGGCCATGGTGTTTTAGTATAGCAACAGAAAGCAATAAGAGGGTCTTTGAGTAAGGTTGGCCAAAGGGAAGGGAATTAGCCAAGACTAATGAAGTAGAGGAGCCTTGCCTCTCCCTCACCAGACTCTTCGAACTCACTACCTAGCTGAAGATGACCTTGAACCTCCCCCCCCCCCTTTTTTTTCTCCTGTTTTTTTTGGAGACAGTTTCTCTGTGTAGCCCTGGCTGGTATTGAACTCACAGAAATCCATCTTCCTCTGCCTCCCATCAAAGGAGTGCTCCACCACCACCCAGATCTTGAATTTCTCATCCTCCCACTTCTACCTGAGCGCTGGGATTGCAGGCATGTACTACCATTTCCAGTTGTTTCAATGGATTGCCGGAGTCTCACCTACAGTAAGCACCCAGTTTGTCCCACCCAGGGAAGCCTCAGTCCCCCAGGGCCAGAGGGTGTGTAAGTCGGGCAGGAGAGCGTGAGGGGCCAGGTTGGCACAAACCCGCTGCCAGATGGCCTCCTGGCCACTCCAAGCCAGAGCCAGGTTGATGCCATTCAGCGCCATCCAGTCAATCTCTTGCTCCCAACGGGCCCAGTCCCACCACACGAAGGAGTAGCTGTGCGTGCACACATTCTGGTAATAGCGGTACCTGCAGGTAGGGGGCACATTATTGGGGACATATGGGATGCCCCACTCACCCATCACCCTGGAGCACCTCAGAGGCAGCCTGGCTCTGGAATACTACCCCCAACACACATACACACACAGGACAATGGGCACAGGTTTCCAAGAGGCCCCTCTACTGCTCATTCCAGATCCATCCAGGTAAAAGCCAACACCTAGTGCTGGACCTTCTCTCGGGGCTCCGTAAGCTTTAGCGATTGTGGATACATTAACTTTATTTTCATTGAAAATGTCCAGACCCTCTACTGTGCATCGTGGGAGGGGGGTGTCCTAGGATGTCAGTGCCTTAAGGCAAAATTGGTCTCTGTCCCGAAGTGGATTCCCAGTTCCTACAGTTTTATGGGGTAGATGGTTGCGCGAACACATCATGCCCACACAATGTGCCAAGGGCTAGAATAAGGGCCTGGGGCTTCGGGAACGGTCACTCCACAGCATCGTCAGAGAGGCCAAAGGAGGGGCATGGAATGCATGGATCACGAGAACGTTTTTGAAATTCTACCATCGCACGCAGACTCTCAATCAACTCAACAGGGTGGCGGGCGTCATTATTTGCAGCAGGGGCTCCTAGAAGCTAAGGGACTTGGCTTAAGAATGGACATCTATTAGAGAGGAGCTAAGATTTGAAGGCACCGTGGTGGGACCCCACTTTCTTCTCCGTCTTCTAGGAGTCTGTAACTGCGGCTATCCCCACCCTTGCGTGGTGGGCCTCAACAACGGTGGGTGCCCGGAGGCTACAGGCCGCTGCCCCAGCCAGTTGGGACCTACTGCGTCGATACCTGTCGGGCGTGGCCTCGGTCAGCTCGTCGTGCACAGCGGGCAGCGGCCGGGGCAGTTGCAGCTGAGAGCCGGACCAGGCCACCTGGCAGCCGCAGAAGTCGCGCAGGTAGCGGTGCAGCCCCGCGGCGGCCGCCACTCCCGTGGAGCCGCGCACACGCACGGGCGCACCGCCGCCACCGCTCAGGCTGTAGGTGTCCAGACCGGACTCAGCCGCCAGCGCGCGATCTACGGACACTAAGAAATCGGCTGCTGGCCCGGGTCCCAGCAACCGGGCCACCAGCTCCCGTACGGCCTCTGCCTCCCGAACCTCGTCACCCACTGAGTCCCCGGCCAGGAATAGGAACCCTAGAGCCACGGCCAGCACAGCTGCTTCCATGATGCCAACTTTGCGGCAGACCGCTCACAACCAATACGTAGCTCAGGGCCAGGGGCGGGGCTTCCCGCATCCAATCCGCTGCAGACCTCGGGCCACGTGGCCTGAAGGTTGGGCTCCAGCTACCCGCCTGGAGACTTGGTTTCCGGACCTAGACCCTAAGGTGTCTGCTGACCGCGCGCGTGGCTAGAGGGCGCGTGACCCCATTAACATCCGCGGCCACACGGGACGCTGCACATGCCCCAGCCCTTTCGGGTGCAGCCCGCTTCCTTTTGCAAGTCGCTTTCATCCAGCCAGACACCCTTAAAAGTGATGAGAACTGAAGCCAGCCAAGTGCTCCACCACTAAGCCATATCTCCAACCCCCTCCTCTAGTAACTATGTATTTTATTCCTATCAGACGCTGCCACTGCTACTGTTGGACGGGTGGAGGACGGCCCCAGCTGTTATTGTGGCCAGAGACCTGGAAACAAATAAGGATTTCCCTTGGTGAAGAGAGAGATAGGTCAGTGGGTAAGGCCCTTGCACCTGAGGACCCGCGTTCGAATCCTCAGGTCCCAGTAGTGGCCCAGTAGTGGGAGTCTGCCGTCCCCGTGTTGGGTGAGTTGAGAGATGGAGACAGTTGGCCCGGTGTACAAAGTTACAAAAAGGAAGAGACCCTGTCTCAAGGTAGAAGGTAACACTCGAGACTTGTCCATTGACACACAAACACAGCACTCACTTCAAAAGGACCGAGATAGTTTGTTCTGGAGCCAAATATGAGTGACCATGGTCTGGGAACAGTTTTAGGACACCCCAATTCCATGTTCCAATGTGGAAATGATTTGGTGAAGTTTTTACAGTAACAGAGCAAAGAAAGTCATAAATCAAGACACTTTTCTTAGAGTTTATTATATACGCATTGGTGTGACAGTGTCAGATCCCCTGGCACTGGAGTTACAGACAGTTGTGAACTGCCATATGGGTGCTGGGAATTGAACCTGGGTCCTCCGGAAGAGCAGCCAGTGCTCTTACTGCTGAGAGGTGGGGTAGAGTGAATCTGGGAAGTCTGTTTCAAGCTTCTGATGACATCCTGGGTTCTGGGATGATGGGAGCCCGTGGTCTGATGCATTCCAAAGCAAAACTAATGTTCTTTGCGTTCCAATGTTCATTCCAGTGTTTTGTACACTCCAGCACTATGACATTTATTTGTCATAAAGCTGTTAGGTCAAGTACACGGGGTGGGTAGGTAACAATGGTTATTGAGAGAGGCTGAAGACGGCCCAAGATAATTTGGTTCTGAACCCGCAACATTTCAGATTCTTCAGCTGCTCAGCACGGCAGAAGATTCAGGAGAAACTACTTTTCTGGAGCTCTGGTTCAAAGCTCTGACCATCATGTGTGTGTGTGTGTCAGACACCTAAACTCCCCCACACACATGTGCGAGCACACACACTTGGAACACACAGAAATAACAGAATTTCACCCAGGGCTGTGAGGCTGTGAGGAATCCCAAGTCTTCAAACAGGCAGAGACATTTTATCTGACACCCAAGGATAACTAGGAATTTCCAAGAAGGAGGAAAAAAAGAGCCTTCTAGACAGAGGACACATAGATAGAAGAGAGTGGGGAGAGGGATTTGAGGAACTTGGGGGACTTGAGGAACTAAAATGTGGCCTCGTGTGCCCAGCTTGGCTAGCAGCCTACCAGCGGATCCTCAAAGGGCTACAGGAGCAGAGCAGGGACAGTCACTTGTCCCAACGGCCTGGAGGTGAGGAGGTGACCCCTCCGCAGCAGAGGAGGAGAAAAATGGAAACTCCTGGCTCCCAGAGCTCAGTATGGGCCCACGAAGATGTTCCAAGCCTTGCAAATGCTCAGGCTGCCTGTCTCAGAAGGTGAGGTGAGGGTGCCTGGGGCTGGGTGGGGGCAGGGAGCAGTGGGCTCCTGAGAAAGGTTTCATTTCTTAAAAATATTTATTTATTATGTATACAATATTCTGTCTACGTGTATGCCTGCAGGCCAGAAGAGGGTACCAGACCTCATTACAGATGGTTGTAAGCTACTATGTGGTAGCTGGGAATTGAACTCAGGACCTTTGGAAGAGCAGGCAATGCTCCTAACCGCTGAGCCATCTCTCCAGCCCCAAGATTTCATTTTCTAAAAGGATTCTAAAGCCGGGCGGTGGTGGCACACGCCTTTAATCCCAGCACTTGGGAGGCAGAGACAGGCGGATCTCTGTGAGTTCGAGGCCAGCCTGGTCTAGAAGAGCTAGTTCCAGGACAGGCTCCAAAGCCACAGAAAAACCCTGTCTTGAAAAACCAAAAAATAAAAATAAAATATAAAAAAAGGATTCTAAGCCAGGTGTGCTGGCACATGCCTGAGATCCCATTTAGGAGGCTGAAGAAGGAGGACCTAAGGTTCAAGACACGGTTGAGTTTCTGCCCAGCTCTGCTGGAATGGCGGTGGGGGTTAGAGAAACAAGGCCATTCCTGGCTCTCCAAGTCCTTCCTATGGAAGGAGAGGCCCCTGCTTCTCAGTTCCCTTTATCTGGAGATTCTCATCCTTTCCAAGGAAGCACTCCAGTCCAAAATTGGAATAGGAAGATTTGCCTGGGACCTTGGCCCACCCTCTCCTCAGGAAATGTGCTGTATGCAGATGTGTGGTGGCCAGAAGTTGTGTCTTCATCTCACCCTCCACAGGTTTTTTGTTTTTTTTTTCCTCGAGATAGGGTTCCTCTGTATAACAGTCCTGGCAGTCCTGGAATTCGCTTGTAGACCAGGCTGGCTTCAAACTCACTGACATCCGCCTGCCTCTGCCTCCCGAGTGCTGGGATTAAAAAGGCATATGCCACCACTGCCCGGCTTGGTCAATGTTTTTTTTGTTTGTTTGTTTGTTTTTTTAAATGATTTATTTAACTTTATTTTATGTGCATTGGTGTGAAGGTGTCAGATCTCGTGGAACTGCATTTTCAGACAGTTGTGAGCTGTCATGTGGGTGCTGGGAATTGAACCCAGGTCCTCTGGAAGAACAGTCAGTGCTCTTAACCGCTGAGCCATCTCTCCAGCCCTGGTCAATGTTTTATTACAGGAACAGAGAAGCAAATTAGGACAGACATCAGTCTATAATATAACAGTATTCATGGTGGTCTGCATTGCTTTCCTTGAGACGCCGGTGTCAAGCACTCTCTGCTTGATTTCCTTAAGACCTCTCACTGAACCTAGAGCTAAGCACAGCCCTTGCTATGCTCTGAGACACGGCTTCTCTAGCCTCTACGTTGATCCCCATTGGCAAGAGGACTTGGGACACCAGTGACCACTGAACTTGAGGCCCACACAGTCTCACCTAACAGCACTAGCCATTGGCCTACACTCCCAGGGACCTCCTGAACCTCCATCAGTGCCAACCTCCAGCTTGCTACAGCGGAAGGACTTGGCGGAGGTGGGTGGAACCTGCAAGCTTCCGAAGGAAGCACCCTCGCGGCCTCGTGGGAGATTCCCCAGTGGAGCCCTGCAGCAGCGTTTCTGCCCAAACAAGTGGTCCTCATTTGGGGAGAGGTGTGCTTATTTTTTACAGTAGCATGATAATATAAGGAATGTTTGTGTGAATAAACCGAGCACATTCAAAAGACAAATCCTGTGTGGACCTCCATAGGCTGCGCTCTCCACAGCTGGACATGGCAACACACGCCTTTAATCCCAGCATTTGGGAGGCAGAGACAGAGCAGACCTTTGTGAGTTCAAGAACAGCACAGCCTTAAGCTAGCCAGGGCTACATATCAAGGCCTTATCTCCAAAAAGCAAAACAAACAAACAAACCCAACCAAACAAGTCTTACCACACAGCCTCTATGCCTCTTGTCTTCTTTTTTTTTTTTTGGTTTTTCGAGACAGGGTTTCTCTGTGGTTTTGGAGGCTGTCCTGGAACTAGGTCTTGTAGACCAGGCTGGTCTCGAACTCACAGAGATCCGCCTGCCTCTGCCTCCCGAGTGCTGGGATTAAAGGCGTGCGCCACCACCGCCCGGCTATGCCTCTTGTCTTGAAGGAGGGATTAACAGGGAGCAAAAGCAGCTGACCCAAAGTATAGGCGTCGACAAAACTGAAGTGGGGGGACAGCGCCAGGCTTTCAACCTGCATTGAGTTACCTTCAGGACCAAAGTGTCTTTTAGAGAAAGCAGTTTCAAAGGACTATTTTGGCAGCTTGGGGACACCATCCAGGGTTCATTAACAAGTTAACTTCCTGCTAGTCACAATAGCTCCTCTTTCATTACCTCCTCCCCAGGGCAGCACTGTTGAAGGGTGGAGACTGGAGGATCACTGGGGATGACTGGCTGTGCGCTCACCTCTAGGTTCAGTGAAAGGTGTTAAGGAAAGCAAGCAGAGAATGCTGGGTACTGATGTCTTCTGGCTTGCACACATACAGATGGGTGTCCACAGGCGCATACACATACAGCGCAAACATTCACACACATGCACTGAATTAAATAAATTTGGGCTGGAGAGATGGCTCAGGGGTTAAGAGTACTGGCTGCTCTTCCAGAGGTCCTGAGTTCAATTCCCAGCACCCACATGGTGGCTCACCATCTATAATGAGATCTGGTGCTCTCTTCAGGAGTACAGACAGACATACAGGCAGGATGCTGTATACATAATACATAAAAAAAAAACCCAACAAACCTTTTTTAAAAAAGGAAAGGAAATAAATTTAAACTGCTATCGTAAACATCCTGGATATTCTAAAGTGGTTCTCAACCTTCCTAATGCTGTGGCCCTTTAAGACAGTTCCTCGGGGACCTTGGGAGAGGGTTTGAAGAGGAGGGTAGAGTCAGGGAAGGGAGCAGAGAAAAATGTAGAACTCAATAAAAATCAATTTAAAAAGGAGTTAGCTAGAAATATGAATAAGCTAATAGGCTAAACAGTATTGCAAAAAACAAACAAAAAAAAGGACATGTTGTGGTGACCCCCAGCCATTAAATTATTTCATTGCTTCTTCCTAACTTGCTGGGCGGTGGCAGCACAAGCCCTTAATCCCA